TTGAAGCAAAATGATTGAAAAGAAGAAAACTAACTCTATGCAGTGTAAAGGTGGTGGGTTTTTCTTTTCCTTTCTTTCTTTTTTTTTTTTTTTTTTTTTGCTAAGGCATTTTTAAATCTAAAATATCCTTTGCCATTTGAAATACATTTTAGGAACCAGTAGTGATTTGCACTGCTTTTACATGGCAAAATAAAATGTTACATCTTCCAACATCATCCCTGGAGAGCCAAATATGTGGGTTGTGAATCATTTATGATTATAAAATATACAAATGTTTCACTGTTCTCTACTTCACTTAACCCATTTTGTTCAAAGGAATGGTGTTTGGAGAAGGCTGAATTGCTTGATAATTGTACAATTTTCTAATATGTGTCTATTTATAATTGGAGGGGATGTGGTCCTATTCAGGAGGGAAGGGAGAGAAGGTGCTACTTTGTGTTCAGCTCTCCAGGCCATCCATTTCTCAGAGATTCTTGGTTTCAAAGAAAAATAAAAGAACATTATGAGGAATAGCTTCATGTCACTAGCCAACTTTGTCTGAAATGGTAAACTAAATAGAACAGTACGGTAGACACTCATCAATATTTTCTATTCTTACCTAATGAAATGTGATATATTCCCATTTATCCAATGAAAGTTTCAATGTAAAGCAGGACTTGAGTTCAGAGGCGTTGAACTGCAAAACCCAAGTTCTTGCAACTATTAAATCATTTTAAAAGCTATTTAAATTCTTTTGAAATTTGCTTATAAGAAATTCATCAAGGGGCTCCTGGGTGGCTCAGCAGGTTAAGCATCTGAGTCTTGATTTCGGCTCAGGTCATGATCTCAAGGGTCTTGAGAATGAGCTCTGCACTGGGCTCCAAGTTTAGCAGAGTCTGCTTGAGGATTCTTGCTCTCCCTCTCCCTCTGTCTTTCCCCCTACTCTCTGTCTCCCTCAAATAAATCTTTTTAAAAAATGTTTTTTAAGATTTTATTTATTTATTTGACAGACAGAGATCACAAGTAGGCGGAGAGGCAGGCAGAGAGAGAGAGAGATTGGGAAGCAGGCTCCCCGCTGAGCAAGGAGCCTGATGCAGGGCTTGATCCCAGGACCTGGAGATCATGACTGGAGCTGAAGGCAGAGGCTTAACCCATTGAGCCATCCAGGCGCCCCTTTAAAAAAAATTTTTTTTAAAAGAAATGTATCAGTAACTATTACCTTAATTTGGAAGAATAGTCAAAAAACAATGCTTCGGCTTATTTCACCTACCAAGGTTGATCTGCCTTTTAGCAACAAGATGGAAGTCGGTACAAAATAATGCTACCTGGTAACACTTGAGCCAAAGAAGAATGGTTACTTGAGCCAAAGAGTACACATCTAACTAAGGGAACTGTTTTCCTTCAAAACAGTACACAAAACATCATTCACTCACAAGATCAATATTAAGACACTTCAAAAATATTTGACAAGAATGACTTACATTGTAGGCTTATTATTTTAAGGTAACCCATAGATTGTTGAATTTCTTTTTTTTTTTTTAAAGATTTTATTTATTCATTTGACAGACAGAGATCACAAGTAGGCAGAGAGGCAGGCAGAGAGAGAGAGAGAGAGAGGGAAGCAGGCTCCCCACTGAGCAAAGAGCCCGATGCGGGACTCGATCCCTGGACCCTGAGATCATGACCTGAGCCGAAGGCAGCAGCCTAACCCACTGAGCCACCCAGGCGCCCCGATTGTTGAATTTCTTAATTTTACATTTATTTGTTTTATAATTTCTACATTTAAGAGGAAATTGCTTTATGTCTCAAGAGGATAAATTAAAAAAAGAGAGAGAGAGAGAGAGAAGACAGGGATCTCATTTAGTTCTGGCTCAAACGGCAATCTAAATTACAACAAATTCAGCCAAACAACTTGGCCAGTATCTATGGAGTATTCATTACTTTCTTTGACAGGTGAAAATATGCTTATTTTCTCAATCCCCCATGCTAGAGAAAAACATACATAATGCTAGTCTGATAAATTGGAATGAGGAGAACTAAAACAGTCCATGTATCTTCTTAAAAACCTCAAATTTTCCTATGGGCTAATTATTCAATTCCAATTTCACAGTTTATACTTCTTAGCTTTGATGTAGAACTGCTTAAAAATTTGATGTTGTTTAACCTTGCCAAAAATACTTCTTAGCAGCAAAATTAGTCAAACATTTTAGTAAGAATTGTTTGCTTTTATTAAATATTGTTTAGTTATAAGATGGAAGAGGACTGCTGTCCTTCAACTCTGTAGCTCCCCTCTGCTCATTAAAAGCTCTGGCAAGGATAATCCTTAATAAAACATTAGCCCTTGATAAGGATAAGCATTCACTTTTCTCATCCCAAAGTGCATAACATTTTCTTCTCTATTAAAATAACTCAAGTTTCATGTTCAGATCGCTAAATAACTAAAAACAAAAACAAAAAAATAAACTACATGTCCTTACAATGAATAAGATTGACTGTTTCTCCTTCTTTGTTTTTTTCTACGTATCTTCCACCTTTTACTCCATACAGTCATCACATAGAAAATATATGTTGAGAGTCCACTATGAGCCAGGCACCACACACAAATAATAGAATCTCTAAGTTTGGCTGTGATCTTTCTTCAGATGAAGATGTCAAGGCTCCAAAGAATGCCAAGAACATAGAGTAAGAAGTTTGATGGTAGTGGAGAGTGTCAATAGAGTGTTTTCTTTAAAGACGAACAGATTGTTCTTCCTTTTCAAGATGTATTTTCTGTTTTAGAAATATCTGACCAAAACCTTCCATAATATATTTAAATATGAATTTAATAAAAACTAAAAGTAACTTAGATGAGACTACTGCTCATGGGAACTTAGTTCCCTTCATGTGGTAGGGTTTCCCAAAACAAATCATTAATATATTCTTCGCTATGTCCTTGGTATATAGGGTCAGTCAGCCTTTTCAAGGAATGCTATGCACTCTGGGCTCTTAGATAAAAGGTAACATGTAGAAAACATCCTCATCCAAAAACAAACACAAAATAAATGAAACAAAATAATAACAAGGACATCAAGGAAACCAAATCATGAGACACCCAAGTCAATGAACTTGACGTTTCTGGAGACTGGATTTTTCTGTTTAGTTTTGAGCAATAGGCTTAGGCCTTTTTTATGAGAGTCAACTGGAAAACTATCTCATAGGCTTTCATCAGACTCAAGTTTTATAAGCTATTTATTATGTGAGCAAACTATATTTATGGAAAATAAAACCAATGAAGTGACTGGACAACTCTTTCCTCTTTAAAAATATCAGCTGGTCATTGTTGGCAATACATGTGGTGGAAATAATCATGGATCCCTTTAACCTTGTTTCCAGAGGCAAAATGAGATTTAATTGGATTCACATTTCTTAGGAACTTGGCCATTTTAATAATTTTTTTTAAGTTTACCCCTAGTCTATCCATCGTATGGTGATTCCAATGTGCAGCTATTTTCAACTGCATGATTCTCCTGCCTATACTAGTAATGCAGGTAATGTCCAGATGCTTACAACAGTTTCTGTAGAACTTGAGAGTGATCTAATCCCCCTTGTAGCAAATATACAATTCAAAAGAGAAATAATCACAGCCAATATCATGTCAGACTGACGAGAACAAGGACCATATTTGTCTTCCTCACTCCTTCCTTGCCAGGGCCTACAAGAGATCTGACCCATTGTGGGACCTCAATATATTTGCTGAATGAATGAATGAATCTTGTGAAATTATCCTGTAGCCTTTTTAAAGCCTTTCTACACACTGTCCCCAACCCCGGTGTTAAATGGCTATACAATATGTCCGCATTTAAAAAGCTGTCCTGAATGTTTGATTTTGAGTTGTTACTATTGAACATGATTTATGTTTTCCTGGGTTTCAGCATGTAGTTTATTCCAACTGTAGAGGTTAGTGGCAAATTTTCCTGTAAAATACTGCTAGAGAGACCATGTTCTGAATAGATACAGGGTTCCCAAAAGAAGTACCCTACTAAAAACAACAACAACAACAACAACAACAAAAATACAAAACAAAACAGAAGAAGTACCCGACTACGCTATGGAGTTTCTTCCATTAGGTATTACACCATGGCAGAATCATTCTGTGAGGACTTTTGGTTCTTTTGTTTTTCCCTTATAAGAAAATGAACCAAAATGAGAGGGAGAGAGAGAGAGATGCAAATCAACTGTCATGTCAACTATATTCATTCCCTTTGGCCCATCTGCTGGGGCCTCAAACTTTCTGGAGATTTATCTTTTGAGTGTATTGCTCTTGGAATTCCCAGACCAGATTTTTCTTCAAACGTGATAAATCAAGCTGTATACAGTGTTAGGCTAAAGATAAATGTCCTGTGATTATATTGAATATTTACACCATATCTTAGTTGTAAAGATTGCTTTTGAAACTTTCTAAAGAATATAAACAGCGAGATTACAAAATGCCAAAGGCAAAGGCAAAACCAAGACCCAGAGATTAGGGGAGTATTTTGGTACTTGAAAGATAATGTTTTGTTCTAAAACTTTACTTGTTTTGCTTCTGATAACTCTGCATACTTTACAATTTAGTAATGTTCGAACTCTGTTATCTGGGCTAAGCCACGAGTAGAGACATCACCCAGGTTTTAACATCTAACATTTCTTGAAAGCAAATCACGGAATTAAAATAAGCCATCCCTTTGGAATCGTGGAACAGGAGACATTATTTGACTCAAAATTTCATTTTACAGAAATGGGACCATGAAGTTCGGAAAGATTTTTTTTTTTTTAAAGTGACTTGCAAAGGTGATGGAGTCCCAATTTAAAAAAGAAAGAAAAAGATCTCCTAACTTCAAAGCTCCTTCTTTCTATGCTAGCCAGCTTTCTGCACTTCTCCATAGGTGGCGCTGTCTCTCACATTTGGAACTACAGAGATGAAAAGGGAAAACGCTAACCTCTCCAGGAAGCCATTCCTGTGAGTGAAGCAAGACAGGTAGAGAGAGCCCGCACCTACTCACCCAGATCAGAACACTGGACAACTCGCAGGTGACACTGACAGCGGAAGGGACACACAGGTCCCAGAGGCTCTAGGTCAGACTCCACAGGAGCGCCCTCTTCCGGGCCTATCCCAGAAGCCTCATCTTCTAGCATAAAGTCAAATAAGCCTCTCTGTTGGAATGGCCCAGCCCAGGAAACTTGCACAAGCAGGAGGAAGATGATGGTGGCCTTCATGATTTATCTCATGTATTTTCACAGCCAAGGAACCTAGGAAACAAACGAAAGGTTTAGAAGAGTTGCAAAACCTGGGTACTGCGTTATCTTCTAAAACACCCCACAGTAGAGTGAGTGTAAAGTATATATATACTTTATATATATATATATATATACATACATATATATATGTATATATATATACATATATTTTTGTTACATATATATATGTAACAAAAACAACAACTACAAAAAAACCTTTCATTTCTTGTTAGGAAGCAGAACACTGAAATGTATTTGAAAGATAACGTAACAGATTACCTACAGCTCTTTACTTAGGAAAAGAAATCTGAATGTAATTTGAATCTGCCTGCTTGAATTTGGGGTCTGGATTGAGACAGTATATTATATATTCACATCATTTGCAAACTTGTTAGGATGATAAGCCCTATTGGAATTCTCAGGGCTCACTCAACACAAGTCAGGCCACAGTCAAATAAAATCTGGTCTATAAACATGAAAGATCTTCAATTCCTGTGTCAGAAATCTCTCTGGAAACCAATCTCATCTCCCCATCCCACTGTATTTATCTTGGTCCAGAACTTTCTCATCACTCCCCAAACTATCCCAAGAGCTTCCAAATGGTCTCAGCCTTGAATATTTGTTCTACTCCAGGTCTTCCTCTACTCTGCTGCTCAAGTCATGTTCTGAGAATTAGATTTCATTGCCTTCCTATTCTATGGAAAACTCCTTGTTGACTTCTCAAGGCTTGCCAATAAGGTCCACATCCCCTCTGTGGCCTGTGAGACCAATTGTAATTTGGTACCAACCAATGTTTCGAGCCCAGTTTCTCTCCATCTCCTCTCTCTCATCCAGTCCCCACCTCAATCCTGCCACTCAAAGCTAAGTGCCATTTAAAATACCTACCTTGCAAGATGGCTGTAAAGACTGAAAATGATAATGGACTTCCCTTGTGGATACCCTGGCTCATCCAGGCAGGACACGGCTACTTCCCTCTTCTGTGCCCCAAATCACGTTGCTCTTACCTCTTTTAAAGAACTTATCACATTATACTGTAATTTGTTTTGCAAGCTTGGTCTGTCCCCCCAACTAGAAGATGTACTCCTTCAGGGCGTGTCTTATTATTCTTTGTTCTGTACCCAGGCCTTGCACAACATTTTGCCCATAAATGACTCAATTGACCATCAATTTATTAACAATACAAGTTATTCAGTTTGTTCCAGGCAACCAGTGGGTCTGATTTCTTAAAACACAAACTTATGTTTTTTTCAATATCAAGTTTCTAGCCTGAAAAGGTAACAAATGGAAAACCTTAATTTGGTGGAAGCACAATTCATTTTTTAAAATAAATCTATGGGACAGTTTCCCAAACTGATTATTTTTTATTAAAGCAGCAAACATATATGGGATATCCTGATTTTTATAGGACTTACATGTTATCTGGTTTTACCTAGAGGGCAATTTTGTAAACAAACATAAGTACGGTTTTGACAAATCCATATCGTATTTATCCATTCATTCAATAAGCATTTACATACATACATCTGTCTTTGAGTTGGTGTTCAGCTGGCTGAAGGGAACTACATAGATCTGAATAACAAAGAGTAGTTGATCATGTAGAGAACAAGTAGTTTATTTCTTACTTTATATGTTTTAAAACCCTATGGAAACTGTTCTAAGGATTACCAAAACACACAGCAGATGTTACCTTTAGTTCCCCCACATCTACTTTGAAGTGTACACTTATAAGCATCATATTAAAGCTGCCCATTCATAACCAGACTTTAAAATATGATTTTTAGTCATCAGCCAATTTTAACAAAAACAGCAAAACCAAGAAACAAAGACAAAAAATCACACCACTTTGGATGCCCTGACCTCAATGTATCTATCTACGTAACTTCTGGAAATTCTTGGCTAGATGCACTAGAGAAGGAAAAAATAAATGTTTTTGGATTTCTTGCACTTTTGTTCTTCAACTTATATTTATTAGAGAGATATGTGTAAGGCAGTAAATACGCAGTACAGGCATGTGGCTTCTCATTTAAAAAATACCACAAAGATTATTATTCACACTGCCCCTTTAAATTCAGTATCAGGTTTTCTCTGGGAGCATGTTCCCACTCAGTTACTGCACAGCCTTTTAACGGAGACCCTATTGTTTTGGCAGTGTTCCCTTGGACTCGATCTAAGGGAGTGGTTTCTGTCTGTTTCACATTAAAATGTAATGTTTACCGTTTACCATGGTTTGCTAGGCTTGCATACTTAATATCTTACAATTTTAGAAGAAAAATGAAGCAAAGTAATTGCAGATTTAATAAATCACAATGAGAATTAATGCAGATGTCGTTTTTTGATCTTTTCTCCAGAATAGAAAATGCCCAGTTGTTTCACCAACCCCAAAAAGGAAATCCTGAACGCTGGCTCAGAGGAATATTATCATTTATATGTGTTTACTCTTGTTAAAGTTGTGCAAATTCTCTGCACAATATTTTTCTTGATTTAAAGCTGAACACAAGCAGGGAGTTTATAGCTTCCATTACTTATTTTATATCCCTTGGATGCACGTGTGCGTGTGTGTGTGTGTGTGTGTGTGTGTGTGTGTGTGCATTTTAACCCTGAATGTCCTGGAGAAGAATAATACGTCCAGAAACTTTATACAGATTCCCCCAAGAGATAATTTCTTTTAAATTAGTGTCATCATACTTGAAGACCCAGCATCTTAAAACAATTAATGGGGACTGTTGATATTAATAATTTCTTAATCATTTCCTTCCTTCCTTAGTATATAAGAAAAATAAAAAAGAGCTGATACCCTTGCAGAAACCAAGGAGATTATGAGACAATATACTGTCCAAATTTCATTGAGATTGTTTTAAGCATTCTCAAAAAATAGGACTCCTTCCTAGATGCTAACTGCTAAGTATAATGTCACTAGTCCACTAAAGCTAGTCCCCACAGTTTAGAACTGTTTCAACAAAAATAACAATTTCTGACTCCTTAAACTGCTTCAGCTCATTATTAACTATATCATTCAATTCAGCATTTGTAGGATATCATTTATGTCTTTGGTATGACTTTCAAAATCAAAATTTAACCCTCAGGAGATAAATAAAACTATAACTACAGAGCAAAATAAAAATTCCCCAGCACTAGGTGCATGAAAAACCTCAATAATAATGGAAATAATTTAAAAATAGACAATAAAAATGGCGTTTATCTATAAGGACTGCTATAGGAAGCATTTGGTTCTTTTTCTGGTCAAAATAGCAATAGGAAAAGAAAAAGCCACAGGAATTTATGTCATTGGGACCCCACTTAGCCAGTGGTCATTGTGTTACCCTGTTTGGAAATTAGCAAGAAAAATAACCTACACCCTCCTTTTCAAGTGATGTACCTTACAATAAAATTTCATTTGCATTGAAAATACTGGCTGGGTTTTTTCCTTCTCTGTAAGGAATTATGTAGCTAACTGTGAGATTATCTTCAAAAAGCAGCCTAAGTATTTTCAATGTTTCTTTTCACCTCTCTGGTGATAATTTCTATTCTTTTCTAGGTTGCAGAAATATACATTTATTTGACTTCTGCAGCTAAACACCAGAGTTCACATCTCTTGAGTTTTTAAAAGTTCTGAAAATATCAAGAATTCAGGAGGGAACTAAATCCCTTAAAAAAAAAAAAAAAATATATATATATATATATACATATATATACACAGCAACTACAAATAGTATGCTGATCTAAAATATAAATACTTTCTAAAGAGGTAAAACATTTTATTAGTACAAATACAAAATATATCAATATAGACAGTCATGGTGTTAGGTTATATTATTTTTTTTAATAAATATCCTTGCAAGAACAGAAAGAACTAAAACAATGCATTCAACCATTTTACCAAATATTTCACTTTTGTCTTCAAGTAATACTTGTTTAAAACACTGCATAAAGATTATCAAAAGTTTAGCATGATTTTTTTTCTTTCTTTTCTTTCTCTCCCCAAATAATTCCTTCTGCTCTCAACTTGATCAAAGTTTTATTAGTCTGTAGCAGAGTTCAGGACAATTATTGAAAACCATACCTTTTAATCCGGGGATTTGCCACAGGAGCCCTCAAAGCTGAGATGTAATTACACTAAATATTCAGCCCAAGCAAAAGAGTTTGCAGGTGTGGAAAGGAGGAGGGGGTAGGTGCTGCTCTGTGACTGTCACTAGGTTGCAAACCTCCTGCTTCTACTCCATAGCACAGTTAAAAAATAAGGTTTCCCTCAATGAACACAATCCGGCTGACACCCACATTAGATCATATGGTAATGATATGTGTCTTGTATTGCTGCCAGAAAGTTTATCGGCCTTTTTTCTCCCCGTTTGCTTTATTCCTTTGGCATCTGCTTAAGATTCTAAACTGCTTATGTGGTATAGAGGGGCAACTTGATTTGAAATTTGTTTTATTGTGTTGATTCATTTCCCGAAAACATTGTAACTAAAGGGTTTGCTTCCCCACCCCCCAGTCTTACTCCACTATCCACCCTTTCTAGTGTTGTTTATAAGTAACATTTAGACTTCCAAAATGACAGTTTTCCTGGCTTTCGTGATGCGCAAATCTGGCAAATGGAACGAAATTAATCTTGTGGTTATTTTGAATGTGGTCTGCAGAAATACATGAGTAGTTTTATATGAAAATACTCTTTCAGATTCTTACTTGCCCTGGGCTGTTTGTGCAAATTCAAGTACTCTGCCGTGGAGTTTTTCTACGTATTTCGAACGTATTTCTAAAGCGTCCTGGAAGGAAGTCATGGTTTTATATAAGAATGTCACTTTTGCTGCTATTATTATTAATTATTATTATTTCACTACTTGTAGTTTACAATCTTTCTTGTCATTTACTAGCCATTGGGTTTCTTCTTATTTTTCTAAATAAAACACATAGATACTAGAAATTGGTAACTCTTTAATTTAGCCTGTATATGAAAATTTTGATTTATTATTTTATATAATCCAGAACTTTGAAAAGGCAACAGAGTCTATGGCTCTTTTCAAATTTCAGTAAATAGAAAAAAGAAAGTGTAAACACAAGGAATGATATTTATTTAGCCACTGCAAAGCTTTTTTGAGTTTTTGTAATTCCCTGGCTGGATGCTGTTTAATTCTCTCCCTGTGTGTTTCTGTGTTTTGACTTGTATCTTTATGCTGGCTGTAGGCTGTTGTTACCAGGTGGAAACTTGACATCAACATCTGTGAAACATGAGAGGATAGCCCTCCCATCCTCCACCTTCCCTTTCCCTCCTCTAGCCATCCCTGTACCCAATTCTACAGTGAATACTTTTGTCTTGATGAAACTTGAAGGAATTAAATTCTTGAGTGGGTATCTGCAGGAGGGGAGGGGATGATATTTTACGTTATTTCCCAAGAACCGCCTGCCTAATTTTGTAATGTCTTACCCCACACCTCCTCTCTTTGACATTGGAATAACCACATGCCCAGTTATTCCGATCTTTTAGAAAAAAAAAGCCAAGTATTATTTTCCCTGGACTTTGGTGCAAAATCCATGATCCCCTTATGTGGACTTAATTATGTTTTCCTCTTGAATTCCTCTTGCATCCATTTCTTTCATATGACATGCAATCCCTTCTTCATGTAATAGCTGTTGACAGACGTGTGTTGCCCCAAGGAAGGAAGTGCACCATTTTCATTTGTAGAGTCCTTGCACCCAGCACAGTCATGATATATAGTAAATTCTTAAGAAACCCTTGGTGAATGACCACATAAAGACTGTCAGAACATTGGCTCTAGATCCCACCATAATTATTGTTTTGCCCAGCCCCCGGTTTGCTCCTTATCAAAAACCAACCCTACCGTAGTGTATATGATGAGTAATGGCAATAACTGTCACCGAAGAGAGAGAAAGGGGTGGGGGGATAAGGGTATGAAGGAGAAAGTGGAAGAAGAAGTAGGAAAGGAAGAGGAAAAGAAGACACATTATCTTGATACGTAGATCATCTTACTTTCATAAAGCAGAGGCATTTTGGTTGCCATTCACATCTGGGTTTTCTTCCTCTGATAGTAAGACAACACACTGAATCTCTCTGAGTCTCAGTTCCCATATCTGGATGATAGGTAAAAATTATGACCTACCTTAAAATATTGGAGAGAAGATGAAATGAAGCAGTATATAAAGCACAGAATTTGGAGCATGGCCCAATAAATTAAGCTCTCCATAAATGTTGGCTTTTATTGTTTTCTAATGTATGTCATAGCAATCCTTTGAGAACAGCAAGGGAAATCATTTTTACTATTTCCATTTTACAGATGAGTAAATGCAAGTCCAGTGATCTGCCCAAGTTCACGGAGCCTGTAAGAAGCACAACAGAAACTAACACCCAATCTTGCAACTATTCTAGTCTTCTGTTATTGTACTAGATTTTAAGAAAGACCAAGCTCTTAGTAAAGAAAATTAACTAGCAAAATTCTTGGATAACATGTCTTTGCAGACTAGTTTAAAAACTGTGACCAAGTTACAATTCTTTTTATATGTCACATTTGTGCAAGAACATGCATTTCCAGTTTGTTCTAATTTAAGAAGAAG